CTTCCCATTTGTGAGAACACACATGCAAGCATGTTCACACACACACACTCTACCACACACTTGTACAAATGTAGGCTCTCATGCTGCGTATTTACGTTTTTAAAACTCTTGGTCATTTGGAAATCAACAAGATTGTAACCCCTTCACAAATTCATCACCGTATAAGGAGTGGAACACACACTGTGCCTTTGGGCCTACCTCTTGCCCTACCCACGTTCATGTCCTATATACTTTTGCAATACTCTCCCCTGGGGCAGGGCATAATTATCTGATCTTCCAACACAGTGTGAAGATAATGCAAATTAATTACAAAAGCAAAATTGCACATTTGGAAAAGATGCAGGATTTCATGAGTTAACAAGAAATGTCAGGGCCTGTCTGATCACATCACACCTTCCACCCATGACTGACCCAGACCAGTCACCAAAGAGTTAAGAAAGGCTCTTGACAACATTGCTAAAAGCTTCTACTGTTTTTGCAAAAACAACAGGCTTTTTAATTTGCTGGGAAGGGGTGATCTTGTACCACTAGCCTTGAGCTGTGCCCATGATAATCTATAAGAAAATAATTTATGGATCACAGCAGATCAACAGAGATTTTTTTTAATGATCAATTTTATCACAGCTTAGTGGCAAGTTTATAGAAAAAAAAAAGAGTGACACTTGATAATAAGAAGAAATCTTAAAAAAGCAAATGTTAAAGAGCAAACAACTGTCCCCCCACCACACACACACACACACACACACACACACACACACACAATCCTTAAATTCAAAGGCAGTCACTTGCCTCTTTCCTCTGGGAAGTTCTAACTTAATCCCTTCAATGATCCCAGGTCTTCAAAAACAAAACCCTGGATTAGCACCCTGAATTTTAAAATTTGGGTGTCTTGAATGTCTTTGAAAGTACAATCTCAAAAAGCAAAGAAAACATCTTCAGGTGGGAGAGGAAAAAAATACCTACAACAGAGAGAAGAAAATACATAGTATCCCAATAAAATGTCTTGGCGCCTGTAGTCTTGGCTGTACATGAACATATGTTGTACACGCACACATGTCTATGGGTACCCCTGACCCCTACTTACATGGGGAAGGTAACCATATGACCTATCCACACATCTGGCTGCTTACACCCCAGCTAACTGGCAAATACTCCAAATATTTTGCTTTTGGTTGATTTGATAGCCACTCTGGAATATTCGGTTGGCAAGAGGTTTTAAAGCAACAGAAAACCCAAGGTTGGATAGATTTGCCATCCCCTCCACTTAGGTAAAATGGCTTCCAGTAAGGGGTTATGCCAGCATTAGCTGCTAGCTAATTTAAGGTCCAATGGAAAATGAAAATAAACAAGTATTAATCTTGAGAACCTTTTTGTGGAATTATGAAAACAGTCTGTTATAAAACGCATCCAGATGTCAGCTAAGAGTGAGTCAATTGGAATAATAGCTTCAAGTGAAACCAGCAAAGGGCAGCAGGTCAGGCTGTGGGGATTCTGCAGAATGCCCGCTCACAGACGCAGGGGGCGCACTGCTGTGCACCCTCCTGGAGCCTCGCCCACTATACAGAATTGTGTTAAATCATCTATAAAAAGGAATTTGTGGATCCCATGGATCAACATCGATTTTTTTAATTAATTTTGTCACAGCTTAAGGACAGGTTTATAGAAGACCAAGACCAAAAAAAAAAAAGTGTCATTTGATAATGAGAAGAAACTTTAAAAGAGCAACATTCGATTTGACAATTATTAAATTCTATACCAGTGAAAACAGTTTAATTTTATAAAGACCTATAAAACAATCTCCTGTTGATACAGTAGCCCAGTTCTTCAAAAACACATGCCTAAGGATGTTTACTAGAACATTTAATATTAAAACCTCTGAGGTAATCTACGAGTCAATCTATGGAACAGGTTAAATAAATGATGGTACACTTCTACAGTAGAACCAAATGCAAGTGCTTCTTAATTAATTAATTTTTTATTTATAATTGACAAAATGCAAATGTTGAAAAGGGTGACAGACCTGCTTGACAACTGCTGTGAAATCACGTCTAGCATGAATTAAGTATGAAAAAGCAAGTAACAGAGCATTAAACATCATTATTCGGCCATCTTTTCATAAATCAGTCTATCAGCCTATGTTTCTCTGATCGTCTATGCAGGGAAAGTTTTAGAAAGAAGCCAGTGTTTATTGCTGCCATCTCTGAGGAGTGTAGGGGCTGGGGGCAAAGGAGCTTTTCCTTTATGTGTTGTAGTTTTCTATACTGCTTTAATTTTTCACATTAGCATGTATTGCTTTTGTAAAGCTTTTTAATTAATTAATTTAAATGAGAAGGGGAGGGAAAGGCAAAAGAGCGAGCAGACTGTGGGAGTGGAAAGCTAATTAACGGAGTGTTGGTGATCTGGTTCTTAAAAAGAAATGGGACCCCCATGAAAATACTGACAACCTCTGAAAAATGCAGAAAGCCCAGTGGACACCACAAGGAAACAGTTTTATCCACCTTGTTTTCTCCAACGGGTGAGCAGTTGCCTAAAAATACGGCACAGTGTGGTTGCATGTGCTCATTACCCCCTCAGGGTCCCACTAGCATCTCAACTACCTGATGCCAACTTCACTTTGACACTTTTTATTTTTTTAAAAAATCGCTGATCTTCTCTGTCCATGGAAAAATTCTGAAGCATTTCCGTCCCTGCCACCTATCTGGAGGTCTTATTGGCTGACGCTGGAAACCTGTGGCCGTCGAGGACCATGAGTGTTCCAGGTGGTACGTGGGGATAGAAACTCCTAGGCCATCTCAGAGCTGAGCTGGCAAGGAAGCTCAACACGATGAGCAGTCCCTCCCTGGAAGCAGGCGCGCTGACTCCTTGGCAGGATGCCTGGCACATCTGCAGAAGAGGCCAGCATGCTGGGTTAGGCCAAATCCCCCCACTCTGCACAGTCAAGGGTGGGAGTGAGGTCCTTGTGACTTGGGTTGGACTAAGGAAGTTACTTTACAAAGAACACAGAAATACCATGATGCAGAGTTCAGTGCCCAAAGAAAATAGGAATTTCATGAAGCAAGATGAATCTAAGCACACATCACTGTGGGCAGCCAGGAGGAAAAGGGTAATGTAAGACCTGAGTGCAGATAGCAGGGTTAGGAACCCGAAGGGTAGGGTGAGAGCAGGTGGGCTGAGACAAGCACGAGGAGTAAAGAGCTGGAAGTAGGCCATTTTTGTGGCTTGCCTTTAAGTTCCAGCCAGGGTTTGGGTGCACTTAAAGCACCAGGAATGGGAGGTTCGCCCTCCCTGTATAGGCCAGGGTCCTCGCTGCCCTGTGTATTCTGGGCTGTTGCTGAGGGGGATGCTGTGTCCCTGTGCTGCAGGTAGCGGGGGAGCTCACATTTCCTGGGCCATGCCTTCCTGCTTGCTTTGCTACAGCCTAGGTGCACTCCTTTGCTTGGCTGTGGATTTGTTTAGGTACTCGGGGTGCTATGAATGAACACAAACCACTGTGCTCCAACCAATGTTTATGTGCATACCTGCTGGGATGGTTAATTCATGTAACACCTTGACTGAGCCACAGGTTACCCAGACATTTGGTCAAATAGTATTCTGGGTGTGCCTTTGCGGGTGCTTCTTCATGAGTTTACATCCAAGTTGGTAAAGTGAGTAAAGCATATTGCCCTCTCCATCATGGCTGGGCCTCATCCAATCCATTGAGATACTGAATAGAACACAAAGGCTAAATAAGAAACACCTCTTTCCTGACTGCCTTGAGCTGGGACATCTGTCTTTTCCTGACTTCAGACTCAGACTCTGGAACTACACCGTGTGCTCTCCTGCTGGCTCTCCAACTTGCCAACTGCATATCTAAAGACTTCTCAGCCTCTATATGATGTAAACCCATTCCTTATAACAAATCTCTTTATAGAAACCTGTGCACAGCTGCTCACACCTGTAATCTCAGCACTTTGGGCAGCCAAAGAGGGAAGAACACCTGAGGCCAGGAGTTCAAGACCAGCCTTGGCAATATAGCAAAATCTCATCTCTACTGAAAAACAAGTTTAATTAGCTGGGCATTCTGGTGCATGCCTATACTCCCACACACTTGGGACGCTAAGGGAGGAGGATCACTTGAGCTCAGGAGTTCAACGCTGCAGTGAGCTATAATCACACCACTGCACTCCGGCGTGGGCAACAGAGTGAAACCCTATCTCAAAATAAAAAACTCTTTACACACACACACACACACACACACACACACACTTCTGTTCTGTTTACCTGGAGAATCCTGGCTAATACATCTGTTTTTATAGCTATCTCCTTAGGATAAATTCATAAGAGAGTTCCCAAGAAAAACATAACTACCTTCTAGATTTTCACACATACTGCTCAATTTCCACTCAGAAATGCTGTGTTCATTACCTTCACACAGCCCTGCGTCTCCTGCTGCTTCGCTCCACCAGGACATTGTGCCACAAGTTCAATGCTAATTGGCCATCTTGTTTAGGTTTTTTCCCCCACTTTTGTGTGTGTGTGATCTGTGCTTGTTTCACTTGCCCATTTTTATCTAGTTGGTTTCTTAGGTCAGGTTGTCCAGGAAAGAGATTCCAAAACAGAGATGTGCATGCAGGATGTCTGGGGCTCTCAGAGCTATGCCTGGAGGAAGGGAGGGCAGCAGGGCAGAGGCAGCGCACAGGCGAAGGCACAAAGCTGTGCTCTTGCTGAAGGCCCTCAGCCCACAGCAGGAGCCCCCTTGCAGAGGCGGGTCACACTGGAGGTAGGCTACCCCTTGGAGTGGCTTTCAATCCTATGAGAGGCAGCTTTCTTCAGCAGAAGGCAATTCCTGTGAAAGGACTCACTGTGAGCCTTCAGCTGCCACCCTCCTGGCAGCCAGGGAACAGGATTTCAGTCCTGAAGGAGGAATATGGGTATGGATCATAGCACTCACCAACTTAGGGTGTCGGTAGGTTGCATATTGGTTTGCAACGCTCTGTACATGTTGTTAATATTTGTCTTCTGTCTTATTTTCCCAATTCAGCTTTATTTGAAATTTTTATTATTATATTTTCCATTCTGAAGAGTTTTTTTCATTAATTTGAGTCAAATCTATCAAAATTTCCCTTAAGGTTTCTGACTCTAAAATCTTGGTTTTAGAGGTCCCCTGCCCCTAGCCTAAACTTACAAAGTTATTCTCCTGCAAGTCCTTCTAATGTTTTTATGGCTCTTTTATTTTACATGTAATTAATCTGATAAAGATTTATACTTATTGCTGTTGCAATTTTTGTTGTCAGTATTTTGCCAAATAAGTAACGAGCTGGGCTGGTGTATCATACTGAGTAATAAACCCTTGCAATGCTGACTTAAACACCATTTTTATTAATTTTAGGAATCTTCCTGCATATGTACATCTGTTTCTGGACACATGTTTCTGCTCCACCTCTCCCCATTGATCGGTCTCCCATGCGGTTAGCTCAAGGCTATTCTGACCATTGAAACATTGTGATACTCTTTAATAGCTACAGCAATTACCAGACAATTTCTATCTTTTCCAGAATTTTCTTGGCTTTCCTTGCATGTTTCACTTCCAGATAAATTTTAGAATCCCTTGGCTAAATTCTGAAAAGAAATTAAGTTAGGTTATTGACTAGCATTAAACTGAGTTTGCACATCAATGGAAAGAACTGACATCTTTACAACACTGCATGTGTTCATCCTGGAGATTGTACTATAGTTTTATGTTTTAAATGTTATTTTTATTATGTTTTTATCAGGTTTAGGCCATCTCTGTCAAGAAGATTAGGAAATTGTATTCCTTTCTGCAACAGTTTCTGGAAGAGTATCAATAAAATAATTATGTTCCTTAGTTTCAGCCACATACTCATACACATACACGTACGTTGGTTATTATTCCCTAAATAGTCTGTAATTACAGTGCTGATTTGCTCTGTGATACCAGGAGTTGGTTTTTGTTGTTGTTTTTGTTTTTTGTTTTCTAGCATTTTGGGGTTTCCAAGGTGTGCTTGCTTACCCTTTTGCCATTTGTTCTAGTTTTGAGAAACACTTGAACATTGTGTGGGACCCACGTCTGTGGTTCTGTAGCTTTGTGCATTGCCGCAGCCTGCTGTGTGCCCCCTTCTGTGATCTCCTCTGGGAGTATCTGCACTTCTCTGGATTTAACCTTGGCGCCTCGTCTTCGTGTACATCCTCTGCATGCCTCTATAATTCTCCTTTCCCTGTGGGAGGACTTTGATGCTGTGCTTTAACAGCCACATGGCAACGACCTGCCAATCTTCCACTCAGGCAAGTTTCTGCATCACCCAATCTGCTCATTGTGCCTTCTCTGCCATTTTTATTTTTGGCAAAGTTTTTCATTTTAAGTCCAGGGACCACTTGTCCAAAGATCGTTCTCTTTCCTAAACTTACATCTTACATTTTGAGAATCCAACTCCAGAGTTTCAAATGAATTCCCCTTTCTCTTGGAGTCAGCCTGCTACCTGGAGGAACGTGGGTCGGGTGTGGGGTGATTTTTTTGATTTTTTATTTACTTATAAATTTTTTTGGCCTGCTTATCCTTACAAAGAGAGGTCCATGCAGCATTGAGTGGGGTCTATCAGAGGCTGCTGACTTCCAGTTAGACTTTCTCAAGTAAGATCAAAGAATGGAGAAGTTGAGATTCCTAGGCACTCCATTTTCCAGGTGAGTTTCCAGGAGTGCATGGGGGAGGTGGGGATAAATTTAGAACTGAAGGTAGAGGTGACAGGAGGTCCCAGCTTGGTGCTGAGTGGGTTATGTCCTGTGTTTCCAGGGCAGTGCCTGTCACAGCTCGCTGACCAGGCTGCCCTTGTAGGAGCCCTGCCCCTGTGTGTGGTTCCTATAGACGGCTGTCCCACCAAGGCAACAGTGAGCACTGCAGGAAAAGCCTGAACTCTGTCACAGGGGTTAGCATGTGGCTCCACCCTCCCTAGAACTCATATGTTTTCTCTGTGGTCACAGGGGTTAGCATGTGGCTCCACCCTCCCTAGAACTCACATGTTTTCTCTGTGGTCACAGGGGTTAGCGTGTGGCTCCACCCTCCCTAGAACTCACATGTTTTCTCTGTGGTCACAGGGGTTAGCGTGTGGCTCCACCCTCCCTAGAACTCATATGTTTTCTCTGTGGCATTTCGCTCCCATTTCACAGAATTCCAGTCTTCTTGACTTTTTGACGACACAAGGCAGATGTTTTGTAAAACAGTCTTCTGTTTCCTGTAGAAAAAGGCCTTGGAGATCTGCTCTTTCTCTAAATCCTCCATCCTCCAGATAACATGTTATTTTCTCTGAGCTGCAGAGCTGTTTCACGGGAACTTCTTTTTAATGTTCGCTCATATTTAAAGAAGGAAAAAAGTGTATGCAAGCCTCGCATCTGCCAGCAGACACAGAGGGAGAATTGTCCTGGGCCGCTGCCCACTTCCTCCCCTTGAGGAGGTCAAAAGCATCCTCCCTCTGAGGACTGTCTGAGGGGCTGTCTTAGCATAAGTTCCTCTTCAAAGCGGTCACTACGTAGGTGGAGCTGGGTCACAGATCCTAAAGGCAGTGACGTCCCCTTTGGACCATGAGTTTCTGTGATTAGAGAGTCAGATGCAGTCTGTAGACCTTTCTAAGGTTCATGGGAAACAAAATCTAACCATCACATCATGTGCCACTCCCACTGCTAGTGTCCGAATGTTCCTGTTCTCCAAAAATTAAAATTTACATGCTGGAAGCTAATGTGATGGTGTTAGGAGGTGGGGCCTTTGGGAGGTGACTAGGTCCTGAGTGTGGGAGCCTCGAGAGCTGCCGGCCTCTTGCTCCATGTGAGGGCATAGCCAGAAGGCACCACCTATGCCCCAGGGAATGGGTCCTCACCAAGCATCACATCTGACTTCTCAGCCTCCAGAACTGTGAGAAATAAATGTCTACTGTTTATAAGCCACACTGTCTGTGGTATTTTGTCATAGCTGCCAGAGTGGACTAAGACACCCATCTTTTCTCCTCTTACTTTCTCTTTTTCAAAATAAAATAAAAACAATAAGCATATATTGCTATATGCAATGCAGCAGGCTAGGAACCCTATACATTATTCCATTTAATTATTATGGCCACTCTATAAAGATCAGTGCTATTATTATCAACCCCATTTTATATGATAGAGAAGGAAACAGCTCAGAAGGGTTTAGTCACTTAGCAGAGGCCACACAGCTTGTAACTGACAACCACAGAATTCAATCCTGATTATCACTCATCAACCCATTTTGAAGGGGCTCTGAAATCTGAGACCCAGCACAGCCTTCATGCTGCCTTTTACCTCACTGTGCAATGGGCTGGGGTTGGTGTGTCAGACGGATTAATAAAGGTAGGACCATGGGAGGCAGAGGGAGTAGGCCGGGGAATGGCACAGCTCTCCTCTGCATCTATTGTATAACTGCGACTATGTAACTGTGAGGTTTCCATTCTCTTAGCTGTTCTGCTTTATAGCTCTCCTACCTAAATCACAGCCACCACCAGCAGCAGTAATGACAAAGGCACAAGGGCTCCCACTGCACACAGTGTTCCCACCTCCAGTGTCTCTGTCAGCCTCACAGTCTGCCAGATATGCAGGACAGGGAAAATTGAGTGGAGAACTGAGACCCATTCCTGTCTGACCCCAAATGCTATATGCATTTTCTGTTACTGGCCATTTATAAGGTGAGCCCCACCAGTGGCTAAGAGAAAGGAAGCAGGAAATGTGTCCTGGAAACTACAGGAAGAGGTCAGGTGATGACAGTGAACTTTGCCCATTGACTGTCCATGGTTATGTCTCTAGCAGAGCAGCAGAGTTTTGGGGTGCCCTAGCTCAGCTCTCCCTCCCTGGGGGCCCTACCTGTTGATATAAAGAAGACTTTCCTCACCATGTCAGGAAAGATGTGTGATATCTCAACATTTAAGAAAGATTTCAACAGCCTGTGTGAAAAAGCTAAGCTGCCTCCCAGAGTCCAAGCAGTAAAGAATTACCCTCATTAAGGCTTTATACTCACAAACTCATATATAATAAGATGGAATATCTGTCACTCTCTTGGGGGATGCATTTCTTTGCAGATATCTGGCCACACAGCAAAATCTGGCCACTCCAAAACTGAATCCATTAAGTGTACTTAGCTGCTGAGTCCCCTGTAGAAACAGCAAAGGATTTTCAGGCTGGCAGTAAGTGATTGGCAGACATACTTAAAGCTCATGATAGGGCTAAGAAGGGATTGGAGAGGGGCTCTGTAGGAGAAGGGCATTCTTTAAGCCACCTCAGCTCCCCTGGTTAAGATTTTGGGTATAGGCATTCCTCTCCAGTATTAAAATCTATTAAAACCTATTTTGGCAAATTGCACAATTTACTTCTGGGTTTTCTCTTAGAAATCACAGAGGCCAGACATGGGTGGGCTGCCTGAACTCCTGATTCCTCACAGTCCTGGTGGCAAAGTTCCGGGTGCCCCTCTGCACGAGAAAACCCCTGCAGTCCTCTTCTTACTTGTCTCCAATTTGAGATGAGTTGCTTCCTTTCACTTTTGTTAGATCTGTTCTTTCTCTTACTGGATGAGGAGGAAATTATTGTTTTCCTAGTTCCTTTTGGGGGAAAAGGCATGAAGAAACAAGAAACAGTTACCTGGACCTCATGGAAATTTCACCATCATTTGGGCCGTGTCCCCTTGGGGCCTCATCACCTCCTCTCTCCCCTTCCATTTCTGATGGCAAATGCTTGTGGTTGTTTGCTGGCTTGCTCGTTTACTCCTCGAACTGTCTCCCTCAGACCACCTCCTTCAGGAAGGCCTGCCTCCTGGTCTCCATGTTACTGGCAGAAACGCTCACCATGATGTAGCCTTGGTGCAGGAAATTCATTTCAGAATAAAAGTCTGGAAAAAGCAACCTCAGCTCCTCTGGTTAAGACTTTGGATTTCAGTGCCTCCAACATCAAAACCTAATTTGGCAAACTATACAAAGTGTTGAATCACGAAAAATAAGAGTATCTACTTGTTCTTGAAGAACTAAATACACAGACTGTCCATTTAGCCCCTGAAGAGCAGACAGTAGAACATCCAGGGTATCGGTCAGCATAGACTAAGTTATGCTGTCATAACAAACAACCTCTAAAGTCAGTGGCTTAAGAAAACAAGGATTTCTATCTTGTTCATGATGCATGTTCATTTCAGGCTGTCAGAGGGACTCTGCTCCTCACAGAATCCAGTCTGACGGGGCTGTCAATATCTCAAAGATTTCAGTAACTGTGGCCAGAAGGCAAAGCACTGTAGAGAATCCCACTCTGGCAATGAAAGCTCTGGCCTGGAAGTGAAGCGTTATTTCAACCCATAACTTATTCTCCAGAAACAGCAGCATGGCTGTACCCAACCATGAGGAGACTGACTAGAGCAGTCCTGCCATGCACCCAGAAAGAGGGAAAAGAAGAAAATGTGGCAAACGGCATGAATGACAGCCATGCCCAGCTGCCAATCCCAGGCCAATGAGCCCCTGCAAGGATGCCCAGAGCTGTACCCCAGTAGAAGGGTATGATAACACTCCAGGGGAGCCACTTTGTGGTTTTAACTTTTTTTTTCTGCATTTTCAAGCCAACTGAGGTCAGTGTTCTTCCTGGAGTCAAACCATCTGTACAGGGCAGGTGCGCTTGCTGGCAGGCAATAGACAATAACTTCACAATTCTCCAACTCTTTTCTTTTTCAAGTAAATGGAGAGCCAGACTACATATCTCCAGAATCTCCGCTGTTCTGTAATGCTGTAAATGTAAATTATTGAGAAGAAATAATTTTCACTCCCACTACTACTAAAAATAATCCAATCTTTTCAATCAGCGCTTCATTTTCTTTGAGCCCTAAATGTTAGAATTTCTTGGATCAAGTTCTGGAGTCTCTTTTCACACTCATTGCCCTTCCCCTGGGCAATCTCCTCCCATCCTGCGTGCATGCAACCTCCAGATGACACCTTCAGAGGTCCCAACAGATGTACCCAGGACTTTCACTGGGTCTGCATTTGGATTTCTCATATATCTCAAATTAAAATGTCCCAAATATACAGTCTCTCCCACCCCAACCCAGTTCTCTTTCAAAGTTATCCAGCTCAATAAGCCAGTTCCTATGCTCAAGACCAAGGAGTTATACCTCTTTCCCTCTCATTCAGTCCAATACTTCCATCCAATAATTCTGATCTACTCTTCCTCCAAAACAGCTCAACCCATTCCCTCTTCTCTAACCCAACCCTACTACCTTAAGCCAAGCTGCCATCATCAGTTTTCTGGACTCCCTCAATCATCCCCTCCTGCTCTTTGTGCCTCTGCTCCCATCCCTCCCCAGTCCTTCTAGACACAGAAGTCAGAATGGCATTTTATGGAATGAACTGGATCACACCACTCGTGCAAACTCTCCAGTGTCTTCCTGTACCTTAGGATGGATTCCCAGTTCCCCCAGATCCTGGCCACCTGCCCTGCACATCCTCACCCCATATCCCTTGCCACCTTTCTCCTTGCCCATGATGTAGATCCACTGCCATTTTCCTGCTTGAAACGTAAGCCTTCTCCTGCCTGTGAAGTTTTCCCATTGTTCTGGCTTGGCCCCGCGGCATTGCTTTGCATCTCTGCCTGGTCTTTTCTTCCTTTTCCTTCAAATCACCACCTAATGGCCATTCCTTCTGGAGGCTTTCCCTGGCTGCTTTCCACCATCTCGGCCCCCTTAGATCACTCCTTTCATTCCCCCCACATCATTCATCATGCATTTCTACTATTACTCACATATTTTCCCTCCTACATTGTAAGCCCCATAAGGGCAGGGCCATGCTTATATTGTTCATCACTCTGTCCAGCCCTCTTTCCCCAAAACTAGCACAAATTTTGTCACATAATAAACATCAATAAATACCTGTATGTTAAGTGAATAATTCTACTTACCTAACCCCTGGAATATTATAACTAAGATGACTTCTAAACTCATTCAACTTGTTACCAACAAATGCAAACAAAACAGACCCAGAGCTGCCTATTACAACACTATCTATAATAGAAAAAGACAGAAATAACCTCAGTGTCCATCGCGGGGGGCCCAGTGTCCATCATGGGGGACAACATGAATAATTTTAAGAAACAGATATGGAATGGTTCACCCCTACAGGAATGTATCTTAAGGACAAAAAGAATATAGAGAAATTTTAAATAGTATTCTGTAGCCTTACTTTTTATTAATAAAAAGTGGTGTTGTTGACATTGTTATTTTGAAACTACACACACACACACACACACACACACGCATACCACACAATGTTATTAGGCATCAAGAACTTTTAGTGTAAAAGTAAAGAAAATTAGCATTAAATCAAAGAAGTTAAAATCCCCATAATCTTAAATGTGACTTAGAAATACAAGTAAAAGGCTGGGTGCAGTAGCTAACGCTTGTAATCCCAGTACTTCAGGAGGCTGAGGTGGGCGGACTGCATGAACTCAGGAGTTCAAGACCAGCCTGGGCAACATGGTGAAACCCCATCTCTACAAAAAAAACACACACACACACACAAAAATTAGCCAGGCATGGTGGCACGTGTCTATAGTCCCCAGCTATTGAAGGGGAGGGGTGCTAAGGCAGGAGGATCACTTGAGCAGGAAGGTGGAAGCAGACGTTCAACGAGCCCAGACAGTGCCACTGCACTCCAGCCTGCGTGATGGAAGTAAAACACTGCCTCAAAAAAAAGAAAGAAAGAAAAAGAAAACAGAAATACAAGTAAAAGCTCATCATGTATTTTAATTTTAAAATAAAAAGAAATATATATTTTCTAGCCCAATAAAAATATATATTTCCTCTATTTCAAAACAAAAAATACCTAGAAACAATGAAAATCAAGTAGCATCCAGACTTCAGTTTATAAATATTTGTCCATGGAATCCACTGGGGGAAAAAGTCTGATTCCAGGTCTCATTGGAAATTATATGAGATGCAAGATAACTAACCAAGACTATCAGGGAAATGTCAAAATGACAGAGAAGCCAGTCCAAAAGAATTCTCACTGGCCAAGGATGGGACTATTTAAACATCAAAAAGAACAATGATTGCAGCCAGTCAAACTATATCAAAGAAGTTAAGATCCATGAGTACATAATGATAGGATTGGTCACACTGGAGATCGCTAGAACACCAAATTATTATTCTGAAAACTGATAAATAAATGGAAAGAATAGAGCATTTATCTGGTCTTTCATGTACAAACTATTTCCAAGGGAAACTAATCAGTTGATGACCAAAAGTTCTTATTCATAGAGTTATTCCAGCTAACAAATGCAGAAATAATTATTGTGTGAGGATATCAGCATTTTGTAACCCTAATAAAATAATGAATCTGTCAATGACCATAATTAGCTGCCAAATCCTTAAGGGATGGCTGATGAGAATTTCTTGCAGGATGGAGGCGGCTGACATCACCTGATCCCACTGATGAATCTACACGTTCCAAAAAAAGAGACCTGGGCCTCCCAGCTCCCCTGTGAGCTGCAGCAGGAAGAACACAGCAATAAGTAGGAAGTAGTTTTGCAAAACTTCCAAAACGGATCAAGCCTCTAGATCTAATTATTAACTCACCCAGAACAAGAGAGAGGAACAGCACCACTGAGTACAGTCAGGCTAATCCACAGTGTGGAAAATTCTGCGGGCAAATGATTCAGTTTCTTCAACATAGAAATAGCAAGGATGAAAAAGGAGGGAGAACTGTTGGTTGAGACAGATAGATGCATGCATACTTACATACCAAATATAAGGTGTACCCTTGTTTATTTCCTTTTTTAATCACCTCAAAAGCGTTAGGAAAATTTAAGCATTGACCAGATATTAGATGATATTTAGGAACTGTTTTTCATATTTCTAGCTTGATAATGATAAAATGTTTATTTTTTTAAACAGTCCCTTTCACTTAAGAGACACATAGTTAGACATTTATGAATGAAACGGTATAAAACTCTGGATCATCTTTTAACTAATTCAGTGGGAGGAAGAGGGGACTAAAGCAGAGATGGGAGGATATAAGTGAAACAAGAAAAAAAATTGTGGATAAATGCTTATATGTGCTCTCCACAGATACTAATAAATTAGTTCTTTTTTTTTTTTTTTTAAGACTGAGTTTCCCTCTGTCACCCAGGCTGGAGTGCAGTGGTGCAATCTCAGCTGACTGCAACCTCCACCTCCCAGGTTCAAGTGATTCTCTTCTCACGCCTCAGCCTCCTGAGTAGCTGGGGTTACAGGTGCCCACCACCACACCCGGCTATTTTTTGTATTTTTAGTAGAGACAGGGTTTCACCATGTTGGCCAGGCTGGTCTTGAACTCCTGAGCTCAAGTAATCTGCCCGCCTCAGCCTCCCAAAGTGCTGAGATTACAAGTGTCAGCCACAGCACCTAGCCAAATTAGTTCTAAATTCTGTCAGAGAATAAAAATCACATGTAGTTTTGTGACAATAATTTTAATTTCTAATTTAAGATTACTTAGAAATATATCATAATATTTTTCTCACCCAAGCACAATGGACTGACAAAACCAACCATCCCTCCCTCCAACTCTAAGGTTCCTGTTGGGGAAACAACAGCAAACTGTAGCAGATCTCTGGGTCACCCTGCCTCCCCCACCCACAGCCTCCAGCCCCAGCCTGGAGAGGTCGTGCAGGCTGCTCCTGTGAGGTCAGAAACCCAGTCACCTGACCACCCAGCTGCTGGAGTGGGCTCCTCTTCTCCAGGCAAATCTTGAGGGCAAAACACGATGTTTTCTGCTCATTTTCTTGACATATTATGCCTGTACCAGTCTCTTAGATTGGAGATTCTAATTTGAATGAGACACCTTTCCCTGCTCCTTCTTATTAAACCAACCACCCTCCCCTTTTAGAATTCTCAGCCATATTCTTTTCCTGAAAGATTCTTGACTTACCAATTTGGTCGAGACGTTCTCTCTGCCTTCTTGGCACGTGGAATAACAAACTTTCCTCTCACCTCTAACAACAGACGTATTGTTATTCGTTGCTTGTCAAACCTAGCCAATCTGAAATCACTGTCACCATAGACAACAGGCTTCTAAAGATTCGGGACAGACAAAAAGGCCAGAGATCCACCATCTGTTCAGCACCAAGGGCCCCGTGGGTGCAAGAGCACAGTGGACAACCCGTGATTGAGAGACTGCTGGCCAGTGGCTCTCCTGTTCATGGTGATCCACCACGTGGCTGCAGGACACAAGATGGTGAAATACAGAGCAGGCCTGAGCTTTACAGCCAGTCAGATGTTGGTTTGGAATCGAATCAGGCTCTTACTATGTATTTTAATTTGGGCAATAACTTTTGCTTCCTGAGCCTCAGCTTTCTCCTTCATGAGCCTGGTGATCTTGCCTCACTGGATTGCTGTCAAAGAGAACATGCGGCCAGGCACAGTGGCTCACACCTGGAATTCCAGCACTTCGGGAGGCCGAGGCAGGTGGATCACCTGAGGTTGGGAGTTTGAGACCAGCCTGGTCAACATGGTGAAACCCTGTCTCTACTAAAAATACAAAAAATTAGCCAGGGATGGGGCAGGCACCTATAATCCCAGCTACTCAGGAGGCTGAGGCAAGAGAACCGCTTGAACCCGGGAGGCGGAGGTTGCAGTGAGCCGAGATCATGCCATTGCACTCCAGCCTGGGTGACGAGAGCGAAACTCCATCTCATTGAAAAAAAAAAGCAGCACATGCAAGACCCGAGCACTGACCCCTGATGCGAGGGCCCTGGCCAGG